GCTATTAGTCTCAAAAGCATCTTTTAACTTTTCAAAAGTTACACACCGTAACTCTACTTTAGCCCTTTGCTTATCTTCTCAACTCAAGGGATCTCCATTTTGCCTCGCGTAAGCCAACTGTAATAATGTTTCTACGATGTAGATTTCTAGCCATTATCATGTTTGATCAAAAAGCTGATGAAATGAAACATAAAGGTAGAAATGTCAATACAACAATGCTGCCTGTACATGCCACACACATTATAAGAGGGGGGGGTAATTTTTTTTTTTAAATAATCACCCACCCTCTCTCACACAGCATGTGAGGGGGCCTGCACATTAGGTATTTTTGATGTCAATATGGATGAAGCCATGAAGAATAGAAATATCTAATATGGGAAGTGCCAAAAAAGTGTTGATTTGTCCTTCTAGCAATGACAACTCTTCCCACGAGCGAAGTACATTTAGAATCAATAAGTAAAATAGAACGATTCCGGTAATTATTCAACATCTTATCATGCCTAGAATCATAAAATCAAAGATTTGATAATATCTTTAACATGTCTAATATATTCAATGTATCCAACCACATGAGTAGTATTTATCTTTTTATTAACTCCCGACCATGTGTACAACTTCTCATACACAGGTTATATTGAGATTTTTGGGACCTTACATGCTCCAATATTAGGTTAAACTACCTCTAAAGATGTGACATATACATATATATAAATTATCTTCATTAGTTCTTTCTTCCGAAGTGCTTGAATTGAGACATTAAACACCGATACCTTGATCTAAAAGTTAATACTAGAAAAGATAGAAAAAGGTACAAATTAAATCAAACGAAAGAGATTAAGAACCTTTTCACCTATCTTCAGGGTCGGACCAGGGGGGGTTTATAGGCGCAATTGACCCTCCAGATTTTGGGGAAAAAAAAATTTTGCTTAGCTTTTTTTTTTTCTTAGCTTTTTTTTTTATTTATTAGAAGATACCCTATAAATTTTATTTTTGACCCCCTAATCCAAGTCGTTTGGGTCCGCCCCTGCTTATCTTGTAATTGTCATTATAAGGTAGGCTGCGCAGAACTGCACTTTAACTTGCTATTGGAACTAAGTGGCATTTACAAAAGGGTGACTATATTGACAAAATAGTTTTGTATAAGTGCTTCACATTTTATTTGTACAAAATATTTCTAACATTTATGTATTATCATAGTTATATCCTTGCTTTTCATCACATTCTTGGCCTCAACCTTCCCATTAACATATGTTGTCCATAACGATGGTTTTTGTTTGAAAATTCTGTTAAAACAAGCATAGAAAAGAATTAATTACCTATCATATATTTAAATGAGCAAGGAAAAAAATAAATAATAAAGTATGAATAAAGAAATTTTGGGGGGGGGGAAATTGTAATCATTGACAATATGTGCTAACTAATAGAAGGTTGAAAAGTGAAAACAATGGGGAATATGAATAACAATAAATAAAAATTAATATGTGACGCGTTTATAAAAATTATGGTGCGAGTATAATTATCCTTCCTAAAATGTGCCTTTAACCATTTATCACTTAAAATATCTTTGATATATATTAACAAATTTAATTTGGACCATGGTAGAAATATTCTTCACTTTCCTAAATGACAAAATGGTGTCACTATGCTATAAACTAGGATTAGAAAGTCAGTCTACGTGGCGTCCCAGTGCGGTTGATTGCGCATGCTTTGCATTATGCGCCGACAGATACAATTTTTATACAGACCCCCAAACCTTTACTTTATTGCATTCATGGTATCAAATCTTTTGAAAACTCACATTTGGAATCCAGTCAAACAAGTTCGGTCATATTAACAATTAGTTGACCTCAAAAATTGAAAAATTGATAATTTTGACCAACTAAACCAAGGATAAATTAGTCAGAATTTCAAATTAACAAAATGGAAAAAAGAAAATTAAGATCCATCTTCTTTCTCGTCCTATCCCATCCCACCCAAACAAAATCAACGCCAGAAACCATCGGATCCCACCCAAACAAAATCAACACAAGAAAACATCAAACCACCTCCAATTTCTACGGCAACTAATGAACTAGTATAGATGCATATAGATCTCCCAAATCCATTACTCCTCTTTTATACTACTTTTTCATTGAATCAGTTACGTATCGTATTCTCCAATCTTGTGAAATTAAAGTTACCGGTAAGTATGGCTTCTTTTTTTGCCCACCAAAACCATAACTTGTCAAATAAATAATAATCCATCAATTCAGTTTTAGGCCATTGGAAATTAGATTGGAGAGTAGAGTTTGGCATCTCTGTCTCTCTCTCTCTATTGAATCAATTTTTTAGTTTGGATCGAGTGATTGTTATGGTCCAATCTTGTAAGTTTTACGTGTGAATTTCTTATTTCTTGTCGTTTGGGTCGAAAAATTGTGGATTAATGCATACCTGGAGTTATTGACTCTATATTGATTATGGTAAATGAGAAAATCGGTTGATTTTGGTGAAGGGGATGGATTGATTTGGGTAGAGATTTGTGTAGAGATAGTTTGGGTGTGACAACAATGGCGACGGTGAGGGGTTACAGTGTGGGTGGCAATGGCCGACGGTGCCCCGGTGGCTTATGGTGTTGATTTTGTTTGGGTGGGACTGGAGTTGGGATGGGATAGGAAAGAAGATGTGTTTACTTTTCTCTTTCGTATTATTATTATATTTTTATAATTTTTTTAATTTATAATTTTGACCAAATTACCGTTATTTAGTTGGTCAAAATTATCAATTTTTCGGGTCAATTGATAGCTAATATGATGGAATCCATCTGCTTGGAATTCGCATGCGAGTTTTTGAAAGGTTTGATGCCGTAAGTGCAACAAAGTAAAAATTTGAATCAAGTTTACATAAAAGTGAAAGGTTTGATATTGCAGTTGTAATTTTTCCACTATGTAATCTACTTTTTAATCCTGAACGTGCCAAATAGTAGGATAATGACATTTACAAGGGACCATTACATTACGATGATATTTGGCTGATTATTTAACAATCATACGAGGTAAGTAATTTTCAAAAACTTGTTTTCCCATATACTCAACTGAAACGTGTTGATTATGACGAAAAAAATATCAAAATTGCACGACAAAACCAAACAAGACATCAAGTGAATAGACCGCTTAATTCTTTCGGTTAAAACAACATTAAAATCTTTCAGATCCCCAATTTATTTCAATTTTAATACTTTGATTTTTTATTTTTTTTAAATCCAGTTTCTTCACGGTTTTAGTTCTAATTTTAATTTACTTTAGTCGAAAGTTGTTTAATTTATCAGTTTTGCAGGAGCAGGTTTATGTGCATGCGAGAGGCTTTGGAATCTGTCGACCACGTTGGAGGTATAAAAATTGAGATCATCATTAGAGCTTTAATGATGTGTAGATAAACGCACAAAGTGTGTTTTACCCCTATAAAAAGTTGACCTAAACCGCAAAAATTTCAAGATCAATCTTTGTTTTTGTATTCCAGGCAACCATGGCAGACTTTTATATTTAATTTTCAACAATAATAAACTAAAAGAGGTTAGAAACTTCTCAGTATGTATGTTAATATATATAGATTTTTGTAAACAATCATGCTTGGTGCCCATTCGCCGACTTGAAAAAAAAAAAAAAAATTAAAATTCCGCCTACACATTTTTTTGAAAAATAAAGAAATTGTTAACAATAATATAATCCAAGAATGTACAAATGGTAAAATCCTTTTCCAAGTCTTACCGCATTAATTTTTTGTAAAATTACCTACAAAAAAGCTGAATATATATTTTATTACCTTTTATTCTGAACAATATTGTGGCTGGATGTGGACCCTTTAATAGATTCCCGATTATCTTGCAACGTGTTTTATTTGTGAATAGAATCCAAGGCAGTAGGGGTGGGCACAGTCTTGCGCCCCCTTAAAATTATAATAGGCTTATTTCTTTTCAATCACACATTTTTCGATAAAATAATATTATACGTAAATAAAAAAAATCTTATTTTTTAACTACACATTCTTAATTAAAAAAAAATTATTCCAAAAAATATAATCTCAACTAATGGAGGTCAAAAGAAGGGCTGCATGTCATATTTTAGCTTATTGGCTTTATATTGATTCGACGAGAAAAATCAGTTCAAACTGACCAATTGATTTGGATAACAATATAGATGACAAAACCTATACATACCATCTCGTTGAGGATACAATTTTTGAGATACAGCAAACACCCAATAAAATCACACCGAGGACGTGAAGACAAAGTAAATTATTACATACCATTATGCAAAAGAACCCTATCCATTGCGAGAGAAGGGAGTATTTTCTATGCATAAAAAACATCAGTTATTTTGATAATTCTAAGATTTTTGTATTATATGACATTTTTATAGTTTTCTCCTTTAATTAAATTTTTTCTTACTGTAGTTTTTCAATTAGTATCTGATATTAGGGTTTTTACTAAATTATTTCTTACAGAATAGAATTCTATTGCATTGAATAAATGAGATCATTCGGATCTTTTGAAAGATGAGAATTTAAGTAATCTCAATTGTGTTCCAAATTATTTGTATTTTTTATTGATCAACGAATGTTTGATTTCTACAATTCATATATAGATTCTTTAAAATTCATTTTTTTTTTCAACATAATCTCTCGCTAAATTAATTTTCGAGGTGATCCATAACATTTTTCTACTTTTTAACCACACATACTTAAAAGAATCACTTTTCACAAAATTTATTCTCAAGGAATTTATATTTTATTTCGTAATTAATTGAACATGGCACTTGAGACATGGAACCATCGTATCAAGTTGAATTTTCAACTTCTAGGTTTTGAACTTGAGATCATATTAAGATATTATAATGCGGTAAATTGAAATAAAAAGATTTCGGCCACCTTCTTGCATATGTGTCCATAACGTAATAGGGTTATTTACTTCACACATTTTGCACGAGTCTCACCATAATTCCCTATAAATAGAGGAACTTGCAGTGCTTCAAAGTGCACTCAAACTTCAATTATAGCTATGGATGTCCAAAGCAACTACGTGATGATTGGTAACAGTCAGCCATTTCTTGACTATCAGACGGCCAGGTCCACCCAAAACAAGATGAAGCGCTCTGATTTTCCTGAAGATTTTACATTTGGCGCTGGAACATCATGTTTTCAGGTAGTATAACTGTAAATTATTGAATAAAATTATAAGAGCAAGAACTCATGTAACTTGGTTGTTTGCAGATTGAAGGTGCTTGGAATGTAGGTGGTAAAACCAAGAGTATTTGGGATGTTTTTTCAATGACAAAACCTGGTCTCTTTCTCTTTCAGTTTTCCCATATGCGTGTTCTACACATCCGTTTAATTTCTGAGCATAAATATGTTTACTGGATTGGCAGGTAATATTGCCGATGGTAGCAATGGGTGTGTTGCTGCAGATCAATATAATATGTTCCGGGTATACTTCGGATAAATTATTTTAATATGTTAAGGGATAAATTCCACATTAATTAAATATGAAAACATAGACCAATTTATAAAGGATTGTACTACTCTTCTTAACAGGGTTAACCTTTTACGATGGAACCCCAAATCTCAATATAATATATTTCATGGAATCAGCTTTTCAACTATATATTTTCTCAACTTTTACAGAATAACTCCTAAACTAAATGAGAAAAAAATAACTCTTAAACGAAATGCCCAGCGCATATCAACATTTTCCTAAGACAACACTAGATAAAGCTTTTAATTCTAGAACATTCGCATACCATTTGCACTCATATTTAATAATGTTGCAGGATGACGTGGCTTTGATAAAGAAAGTGGGTTTGGATTCATACAAATTTTCAATTTCATGGAGTAGAATTTTGCCAGGCATGTTGGTTCAATAAAATTACAAGGATATAATTTGAGCATCATTTTCTGATACTCTATCAAACATAGGTCAAATTTTAATTTTGATTTGTATTATATTGTATCTTGGTATTTAAGGAGGAAGGCTATCTACTGGCGTATCTAGGGAAGGAGTTAGGTACTATAGCGATTTAATAGACGCACTCTTGGCAGCAGGTTATAAATTATTTCTTTAATAACTTTTTATTTGCTCAATGTCAAATTGAAATTAAGTTTAAATTTGATATATATATGCTTATATCTCACATTCTTTCAATCATTTTTATGTAGATATTCAGCCATCTATAACGCTCTTCCACTGGGATGTTCCTCAGTGTTTGGAAGATGAGTATGGTGGTTTTTTAAGTCGCAAAATCGTGTAAGCAACTCGATCTTGCATCACATAGCACATTTTCTACAAAGATATTTAAGAAATTTACAAACTAAATTCATTCGAGGAAGAAAACTATATTTTGTTATATTTCCATTTTGTATAGGAAGGACTTTTGTGAATACGCTGAGGTTTGCTTCTGGGAATTCGGTGATCGGGTGAAAAATTGGTATACAACGAATGAGGCTTGGTCCTTTTCTGTTCAAGGATATGCGACTGGCTTGTTTGCCCCTGGACGTGGTAGACCACAAGAAGCTATAACAGAGAAAGAGAGACAAAAGAGGACCCGTTTTCAGAGAAGTGTAAATCTTCCTAATTGTATAATCGACGCGGGGAACCCCGGCACAGAACCATATATTGTGGGTCACAATTTGATCCTTTCTCATGCACACGCAGTTGATATATATAGGAGAAAATTTCAGGTTCCACAAATTTCATTAGTAATTATATATAAATACTTCGAAACGTATAGCTTATCTAGATGAATAATGTGTACAACGTGCAGGAAAGTCAAGGAGGCAGAATAGGGATGATAAATTGCACTTTCTGGTATGAGCCTCTTACAGACTCTGAAGAAGATCGGGCTGCTGCTGCTAGGGAACTTGATTTTGTACTGGGATGGTAACTCAATATCTTGCACTATTTGTAGGCCTCTTTAATATTTTTGTGCTAATCATGTTGACAAGTTTAATCATACAAATTATAATTAATTTTTCCCCCGTTTTCTTCTTTTGAAGGTTTGTAGAACCGTTAGTAACAGGTGAATATCCAGAAAGTATGATAAATAATGTAGGAGAACGTCTTCCGAAATTTACGCCAGAAGAGGAGAATCTTGTGAAAGGATCTTACGACTATTTAGGCATAAACTATTATACGACTAATTATATCAGCAATGATACAACAACCCCTACAACCGATAGTTACCTCACTGATGCACGCACCATAGCGTCAAGTAAGTATGAAGATCTTATTTTGGATATTGTTATCGACTTTATCACCACAAATTACCCTGATTCTAATTTCTCTCATTCTTGTTTAGTTGAGCGTAATGGGGTGCCCATTGGTGCGAAGGTAAGCCTTTTAACTTTTGCGCTTTTCCTTAGGAAAATAAATAAATAAATTGATAAGATTACATTCTAAAAGCTTAATAATTTAATTTATTGCTTATTATGCTTATGAAACAATATTTAATGTAATGAGAATCTACTTGTTTTGTGTTAGGCCGGTTCGGATTGGTTATACGTTGTTCCATGGGGAATTTACAAACTCTTGCTTGAAATAAAGAACAGATACAATGAGCCCATAATTTATATTACAGAAAATGGTAAATTGTCGAGGATATATAATTAAACAAGCACAAAATCTATTGTAATGTAAGCCAATATTAATGTGTTGTTTTGTGTAGGGATGGATGACGTTAACAATAAGGCCCTAAATGTTGCACAATCTCTGTCAGATAAGATGAGGATTGATTATCACAATGATCATCTATACTACATTAAGCAAGCAATTAAGTAAGTAATTAAAAAAGGGTTAATTTGTTAATTATTATGAATATATTTACATTTTGTTAACATTTATGATAATGCGTTTCTCTTTCAGACAAGGTGTAAATGTGAGGGGTTATTACTTGTGGTCTATGTTTGACAATTTCGAATGGATCTCGGGATACACCTCTAGATTTGGAATTATTTATGTAGACTTTGATGATGGAGTAACATCAAGATACCCAAAAGACTCAGCTATTTGGTGGAAGAATTTCCTCAGTAAGAAGGCTACTCCCTTGAAGAAACAAACTGAAGACCAATATGAAGAAGGCCGTAAAAGGCTAAGAAGAAGCTAATTAAATTTAAAGCAATTAGTGCTTCCTCAATGTTATGCTGAATAATGAATGCTTGCTTGCAGCAGCTGTTTTTCCTTTAATTTGTTTTCTTTTCTTGTTGGTTGAGCAAGCGATGTTTCAGCTTGTACTCAGTTTGATCATTGTAATTCGTGAAATAAAATATTTGGGACTCTTTACGTTCCAATTATAGTTTTAGAGGAGTAATTTTAACCACATGTTTCATTTCCATGACAACTTTTATTCACTAATTAACTACAACTTTCATGCAATCTCCCAAGTTCTATTAACTTCATTGCTAAACATCAACAATATTGGCACTAGATTTGGCTGCAGTTTGAGATCGACCAAAAGCTTATATAAAAAAATAATAATAATAATAAAAAATAAAAATAAAAATACAACACACGAATTTAACAATTGCGCTTCACCAATATTATGTTATATCAACGAAAGAAAGAAATAATTCAAAATAGTGTCTTCGTTCATTTTTTTTGTTTGTTCAATGATTCTCCATTTGCAGGCTTTGTAGATGTAGATTTCTCACAAGAAGCTTTCCCTTAGAAGTTTGGAGCTAAGATAAGCCACCCCAAACATGATTTTAGTCAAAACTACTCAAACCTAGTCTATATCAATCTCTGTTTTTATTTTTTATTTTTATCCTAGAATGGACTATTAGTTTTGGATCACAAACTCTGTCACCCGAAGCTCAAAGTTTCGCCATAAAAGAATCTTTGCTGAACCTACTGACTAATACTTTTAGCATTGTCCAACACAAATTAATACTACTTTTGTCAATATTATACTAAAGTGGTGTATCACTTGTAAGATAACTAAGTTACATGATGGAGATTTAGTTTATGATATAACACAAAATAGTGATAGTCCCCATTAGAATGCCATACTATTAATTTAAAGAAAGTTGAAGACAGATAAAAAAGTTGTTGGGCAATGGACAAATATGAATAATTGCAAAACAACATAAGGCATAAACCATGATGCAAATCACCTCCAGCATATCAATAACACTTTCCAGTCAAATCTGCTATAGTTGTTGCAAGAAATTTTGCAGGAAAATAAAAACATAGAAGAAAGTAATTCCAGTGGATATATGATTTCTCACTTGGAAAATCGGATTCTGATATTCAAGTCAATAGTATCAATGAGGGTTGTGGAACCTCTATCTCTCTCCAAGACTTCCCTGAAGCAAACTGTGTCAACCATTGCTCAACAAAGGTACCCGTCGATTTTGAAAATAAAGAAAAAGATGAAGTCAGATACTTTTTATATATGATTAATTGTTATAACACTATACTCTTTTAACTAGAAGGAAAGAAAATATCAAGTGTGAGAGGAATTTTTTCAGAAACTAAAAATCTTGACAAGATTATGACAACAAAAATTAACTTAAGCCATATAAGAAAAATACAAGTCTGTGAAAGTTGGAATCAACTGGTCTTTAACCCAAGCTATACTATTTAACTAAAGGCAAAGTTCTTCAATCGAGTTTATTGATCTTTTTAAATGATGTTTATGTTACGGAAGCTTGCTCCAAGACCTTTGAAAACTGTAATTTTTGGACTCGATTTCACGTTACCTTTCTCTACTAGACAATCAATCCAAACGACTCCAACCCACAACCAATACATTTGTTGACCCCAAAAAATGCGCCAATAGAATCTCGACATCGTCCCCTCCACGTGGACATCCCTGTACACTTAACACCTCGTTAAGAGGCAAATGCCGTCAGTTGAGAAAAGGTTCGACGATCGTTTGCACTCCAACGATCAAGTCAACGGTCAGACAAGAGAAAAATGAGTGCAAGAGACGGGAGAGAGGGTTTGGTTAGGGTTAGAGAATGTACATTAAAGTGAAACTGATTCACATATTTATAGAAAAATGACTAGGCCAAGTGCGCTGATGGGCTGAGTCCAAGCCTAATGGGAGGGACTAATATGAGATAATTTTATAGGTATAACAATAGTCACCCAAGTCAGAGTCGTATATTCATGTGCGGGTTAGACTTCAAAATATAAGCTGCCAAATAGGCGAGGTCTTACAGATTGCCTCAGAAATATGAGTAGCTCCAACAAACATTGACTTACAACCTGCCTTGAAATTATGCGTTGGTCCCAAATAGGCGAACACTTATGAATTGTCTCAAGAATATAAACCGCTCCAATAAGTGAGGATTTACTAACTACCTCAGAAAATATGTGTGCGAGCCTGAACAAGCAAGGACACACAAATTACCTCAAAATATAGAAACTTAATAATTTTTTTTTTGAAATTTTGGCAGCATCTCCTCTGTAATATGGGCTAAACTAACCTATAATACAATACAATATATCCACCGAGCATGTACAAAATAAATTTGGGGTTTATTTGCCCCCTCCAAATAAGGTAAAATGATGATACGTATCAAACTTGCTAGTGTGAAGTAACATGATGTCTATAAAATGATAATGTAGATAACATGGCATATGTACTACCAGTAATAAATATAGTGTCATGGGCCATGAGGTATGCTAGGAATGATGTGATATGCGTACTTGACATCAATAATATAATGCACATGTTAATAGTAATCACAATAGTCCTCTAAGTCATAGTCGAATATTTATATGCAGGTCGAACTTGAAATATAAGTCACTGTAATGAAGCCGATGCAGAGATGAGACTAAATATATAAGCATATGTGATAAGCTAACGCAAAGGCGACTTTCTGAATTTAAGTAGCAGAGGTAATACTCTAGATATGAGTAGTAGAGGCCATGCTCTAAATATATATAACTGTTATAAGCTAATAGCCTTACATATGGGTGGTGCATCAATGACAAGGGCTTCCCACATGGTGTTTGGTCCAGCCATAGAAGGGATTAATTTTAAGGTAGTAAGGCATGGCTCCTCGTGAGAGGTATCACACTTGTCCTTGTTGGAGTTCCTTTTTTATTTTCTATTTTCTTTTTATTTTTATTTTTTACCTCCTTACAAGGAGTTTACTCTTCTGTGCAAGGGCTTTTTTCATTGTGTTTGATCCAGCCATGGAAGGCTTCATCTTCATAGGTAAGAATGTGGGCCTACCCCTCATCTTACGAAGCGGTAAATAATACCCTTGCATGGTGGATGTCTCATCCATGTTAAGAGCTTCCCGCATGGTGGATGGTTCATCCATACATGGGATAATGTAAACTCTCTGAAAATAAGTAGATGTGATATAGTTGAAGCAAGTGCAAAACTCTGCAAAATAGGCAACAGTAATGCAGTCAATGCAGAGCCATGATGAGCTCTCTGCAATTAGATGAACCTGTGATGCAATAACCCATTTGGTAAGGCATCTCGTGAAGTGAAGAATAAATATTAAGCTGGTGGCTCATCTCAAACTATCGGAGACTTATAAGCATCTCTCGAATAGACAAGGTCTTATAGCTAGGCTCAACATAGTAAAGAGTGAGGGATAATCATCTCGTGAAGCCAAGAATCAGCATCTGGCGATAGGGCGAATAAACATCCCGCGAATAATTCTTGAACTATTAGAGTCTTATAAGTGATTTCGAATAGACGAGGTCACACAACTAAGCTCAACGATAGTGAGAGGTGAGAAATAAAAATCTAACAAAATGAAGAATAAGCATCTAATGAGGTGAGGAATAAACTTCCCGCAAATAGTTTTCGAACTATTGGAGTCTTATAAGCGGCCTTGAATAGATGAGGGCTTACAGTAAGTTCAACGATAGTGAGAGGTGAGGAATAAGCATCTCGTAAAGCTGAGAATAAGCATTTAGCGAGGCAGAGAATAGACATCATGCAGATAGCTCTTGAACTATCGAAATCTTATAAGCGACATTGGATAGACGAGGGCTTATAGCTAAGCTCGATAATAGTGAAAGATGAGGAATAACCATCTTGTGAAGTCAGGTATAAAAGTTTGGTAAGGAGGGAAATAAACATCCCATGGATAGCTCTTGAAATATCGGAGTCTCATATGCAGCCTTGAATAGACGAGGTCTTACAACTAGACTTGACTATAGTGATAAGCGAGAATTAAGCATCTCGCGAAACCAGGGATAAGTATCTAGCGAGACAGGGAATAGACATCCCGCGGATAACTCTTCAACTATCGAAGTCTTTTAAGATGAGGTCTTATAACAAAGCTCGAAGATAGTGAAAAACGAGGAATAAACATCTCGTAAAGTCATGAAATGCTCCTTTTGTAAGGTAAATACGTTTGACGATTAGCCTCTTCCTTTTGTTCAAGGAACAAGGACTTCAAAATATTATCTCTTCCTTTATTTGGGGAACCAGGACTCCAAGGTACTGCCTCTTCCTTTATTCAAGAAATAAGGACTCATAAAATACCACCTCTTTCTTTATTCAAGGAATGAGGACTCCAAGGTACCGAAACTCTTCCCTTATTTAAGGAACGAGGACTTTAAGGTACCTCATCTTCCTTTATACAAGGAACGAGGACCCCAAAATACTGCATCTTCCTTTATTCAAGGAACGAGGACTTATAAAATGCCGCATCTAATAATAAGAAATCCATGAGTTAGGGCTTGTTTGGGCAATTGGGACGATCAATGGAGCCTTTGAACAATAGAAGCTCAAGCTAAGTACTCATTGGACACTTGGTATACCCAAGTTATAGTCCGTAGCCTCAAAAGGCTAATAAAGTGGGCGATTGAAGCGCAATCTGTATATTAAATTTGAATATGCACATTCTTCTCAAATTTCTTATGCGGCCTCAAATCAGTAAAAAGTTTAATCTCCAAGTAGAAACAATTAAAATATACAATTCAATCCAAATGACTATAATTAAACCTTGTAAAATATACATCATGTGGATTTTTACCTTGAGATGGAGCAAATGTGGTGCAGGCCATAGTTTCAATTTGTCTTAGCAGCTTGCGCTCATGTCTATTTAGGATGTTAAACCACCCACATAGTTCCTCTGTTAATGTTTGTCCCTAATAACTCAATCTTTCATGCCAATCATAACAGTGTAAAATAATGAAGAAGGTTACTTTTTCGAAGCTTGTTGGAGATAACTTACTAACTTTACAAAATCTCATTCGGTAGATTTACTTGAATGTCCAGGTGCGTAGGGTGAAATGTAATGCCAAGGAAAACCAAAGCAAAATAAGCAAAAAGTTAGGCGTAATTGAGGCCCAAAAGAGGTTTAGGAGCAGCCCAATTAT